TCAATGAAAAATGCTATTACCCATAAAAGGGGATATGGCTAGGTAAGAAAATGCTGCAAAGCACATTAACATAGATGACAATACAATATCAATATCAAAACGCCACACACCACTCTTTTACGCGCACGGGCGCGTATCTCAACTACCTTCTGGGCAGAATCTCTGTCGCCAAGAGCCAAGAGTGTGGATACGAAGTGCACGGACCGGCACACAAACAAAAATACTTTCCCGTAAACTCCGGGCGCGTTTACAGTTGTGGACAGATATGTGGTGTACCAGTTGTTGAATACAGTAGTAGATTGCTCAGTTTTTCGACCTCGTGCTCTTCTTTACTGGTATAGTCTACTTGTCATCGTTCAAGACAACCGGGAACCCCGCCCCCCTCGTTTTGCTCACGAACTTGCGTGATCTACCCCCACTACGGTGGTTATGAACGACGTCTAAAAGACGATCAAGCCAGTTTGGGTGCGAATAAATCACTACCGCTGACGTGCTTGCGTTGGCGGGCTTTCTGGTACTGAGCCATGGACCCGCCGCCAGGCGCGTATACTACTGTAGAACACGAACCATCTTCTCATCAAGGGTTCGTTCGCGCTTGATGCGGTTTCCCTTTCTCTGCGCAAAAGAAAACCATGTGTGTTTACGGCCGTCTCGAGCCAAGCGCTCGATGCTAACGGGCGAGAGGTTCGGTTGGGATACAGACATGGAGACTGAGAGCCTCCGGACGGCTCGTTAGAACTCAACACCAGACGTGTGAGCATACCTCCGGCGTATATGCAACCGCAGGACAACAGCGGCATACATGATCTCGTGCATACCAGCTACTACCTTTTTTGTGGAATGCGTCGCACCTCCCTACCCACCTCGTTGCCGAGAGCTGCGAGGGCGCTAAACTCGCTTAGTAACCAACTCCCTCTCTTACCTGTGGGTGTCGCAAGGCCGGCTCCCTTTTCGCTTCGGCGATTGGCGCGCGCCCAGGGTGAAAGACCGGGGCGTCGAAAGAACGTGGTTACTGCAGCTATATCGTCGTTTCTACTTTGCGTCGTGTGGTCTCTCACGAGGCACGAAGTTTGGTAAGGTTAGCGTGCGAGCTTTCGTCCTTTCTATCTATTCGGGGCGCCAGTCTTCTCCTGTGGGGACAATGTGCACACATTGATGTGTTCGAGCACAATGCAACGAGCCGGGGTCACATGGACAGGAGGGACAACAACAAAGAGTTTTCTTTTTTCTCTGTCTTCCCGAAGCGGTGGGTTCTTGTGTTGCACTCTAACAAGCAGACAACATTTTGATTTTCGAGAGCATTTTTTCGTGCGAAGGCGGGGAGTGTTTGAGTAAGGAGAGAGGTTCTTCTGTTGGAGTGCTGGTCGAGGTGCACGTATAGTGCCTGCGTGCGATGTTTGATCCCTAGGTTCTGTTGGAATATTTGGCACTACCGTAGCTTCAGCATTTAGGTAGTCAGTTTGACTAGTTCAAATATTGTCAAAATGTCGCTATTTCATGTAGTAGGTAAAATTCCGTATGGTCTGTCATACTCGGAATATGGAGACAGACATGGTTGATGTTCTGTTTTTCATAATCCAGAAATAATCTGCATACAAGTAGCCTAGATTTTTTCCAGAAATAAATATGTCATAGTGCAAGTAGCTCAGACTTGCGTGCTCGGAAGTATATATGCATCGGGTAGTTGTCGCAAGTGTCTCTGACTTGCGTGGTGTTATCAAAGGATATGTACCGTCGCAAGTAACTCAGACTTGCGTCCTTGAATGAATGAATATTCGTATGCGCTCAGCAGTCGAATTTGGAAGTGTAGTTCAATTGTTGTTGAAGCTGTATTCTGCGGTTTGTCGTACGTCAGTGCAAGTATTCACTTGTGCGTGCAAGTACAATATTTGATGTGCATACTTGGCACAAGTTCGAGAGCATGGTGTTGAAGTCATCTTTCCAGAAACGTCTCGTAGCTTACCAGTACCGTATTCTGAACACGTGTGATTGGTCGACGTTGTCCGATAGGTAGGTGTGATTCCATGATTTCTAGGATGAGCGCGTACTCGCCCCATCCTCTCACTCTGCTTCTTCGGGGGTTCTCCAACCCTCTGCCTATTTGGGGTTTCTCAACCTCTCTACTTCTCCGGGGTTCACTACCCCTCCCTCTGTTTCTCTACATTATTTCTGGTCTCCACTGATCAAGTAACTACATTCCCACCAACCCATCTTCTTCTCCTTCGGACTTCCTGCTGCGAACTCAGAGCCAAGCCTCTCGTATTAAGAGTCCAGCGGCACAACAAGTGAATTGGTACGCCGCGCTGCAGCTGTACAGGACACGTACAGGCTCACACGCAGCACTTGAGTTTTGCCTTTGACCTGTGACTATAAGATTGCACAATCGGGTGCTCTGCTTATGCACATCAGTGACCATTGCTGCATAGGGTTTGATAAAATTAGACCATCTGATCAGTCAACGTTGACTTATCAGATGGTCTAATTTTATCTAATAGTGTTCTGCTCGTGCGACACACTGCGGAGAGAGCACGCACCAACTCAAGAACAAATTACTGTAGGACATACAACAAACAACCTCTTCGAGAACCGATACGGGACAATCGTCAACATCCACAAGCCTACATCCCCAAGAGGTTCGGCGAGAAAGGAAGCAATCACAAAACAACGGTATGCCGCCTTTCTTGAACGTTCTCTTCGGTGCCTATTACTACCCAGTACTATTTTTGGCCGCCGCGTTCCTATTACTACTGATCCGTGGACACCACCGAAAGAGTTGAATATTTATTTGTACCTTTTGTGCCACTGAATCCTAGGTTGAAGAAATCTCCGCATACCATTTTCTGGAACATTCCTTGGGCAGGTGCAGCTCGTGCTGTTGAGCAACCCAGCCCTTACCCCCTCGCGCGCCGCGGCATAGGGTTACACGTATCAACCTTGCGTTTCACCTGTCTCGCCTAGGCCTGATTGACAGCAACCTACACCGTTCAGCAACCTATGTACTGTAGCGCTAATACCGTTTTTTTTTTTTCGGTGGTTTCCCTTGGAGTTGATGTTGTTTTCTTCCGTGCGCTCTACCCGTCTGTGTATCTTCTTCTTGGAGTGAAAAAGCGAAAATACAGATCTCGAAAAAATGACCGCGCATGATTAGACTCTAGTATCCACGGAAGAAAAGTCGAGTCATGGAACCACGCAGCGGAGGCCTCATGCCATCCCCAACTGTACATCGTCGACCACTATTCCGCAGGTTCTTCATGGGTGTCGTTGTTGTTGTTGTTGTTTGTTGTTGTTGTAATCTTCACATTGGGTTCCGTTCCGTTCTCTCTACCCAGTAGTACCTTCTTCAGTCCGTACTACCCATTATTATGAAGGTCTGCTAGCACATGACGTCGATTCCCGTGGTCACCTACCCAAAAATGGTACACGAAAAAATAGTGGACAGCACTTGGACAGCAGTCAATAGAAATCAACGACAGATAGATACCAGTCTACATGTAGGACCCTCCGCTCGCCTCCGCACGCTATTCGAGGTGACCGTAGACTGGAAATATAGTCTAGAACGAAAACGAACAAGAAACAATGAACGCAGAGGGCGAAAAAAGAGAAAGGCACAGAGACGGACACATGCCAGACTACGACCGACCGTAGCGACAAACAAACAAAAAATACCACATGATAATAATGTACAGTAAGTAGGAAGCGGAATGGTTCACGTGCATGGTCGATTCCCCGAAAATATATATATTGGTTGCCCTCCTGACGGACTGTAACGTCGTGTTTCACTCGCTTCAAAGTTTAATGATGAGCTTCGACAAGGCCACGGCTCCAGGCACACTGTGCCGACGTCAGCCTTCTGATGTGCTTCTCAGCGCCAGAAGAGTCGGTCGTACGACAGACAGAATAAATAGCGGTATACTACATATATTATACACCCTAGATGTCCCATTGCATTGATCATGTCAGGCGGAAAAGACAAATAATTCCGCACAAACATCAACACGTCGCACATTGAAATCCTTGCCATGCAGATCAGAGCCCACAATTCCAAACTTCACACATTTTCAACCTGTTGAATGGGCACCGTAAAGCACATGCCAATTTGTCTACCGCTATCCTGTGGACGAGGGCTCTCATCCGACTTTACGGCCGAGTCCAGAGTCCTCTACAGAAACGAACTGCAAAATGTTTATTGTTCCACAAGGTATATTATTGCAGATATAAGAAAATACGTCGAACCTTGCGAAACGCAACGTACTCGAAAAATGCGTAGACTATCCTCGCATGGGAACACAGATCGAATATTCTCGCTGAAAATAACTTTTCAGACTGAAATTTAACGGCAACAAATAGTAGAACCTGCATGTGCGTGAAGCATAGGACGCCGGACACGCTGCAGTTAAGGAATAGTCTACAATAGACCCCCCGAGAAAAAAGAAAATACCAAGACAACATATTTCCGAACAGCTCTCCACTCGTCGTCCCCGTCGTTGAGCGGGGAACAGATCAATATATATCTGCGGATTTGGATGCATTCGCAGAAACGGGTAAGGATTTCGTCAACCAATGCAGTCTGACCCTCATCTACGGGCACAATTTTGGGAGGAAATGGAGGGGGATACACTAGTGCGACGTGACATTCTGCTTGCATGTCACTCGGCGAAAACAAGTATCCCAACATGAGCAAGTATCGTGCAACCCTTTGCCCGCATCGTAAGGGAGAAGCGGCGACGTCAGCGCGACTTGACGTTCTGCTTGCATGTCACTCAGCGAATAGCCATATCTAAAAAAATATCGTGCAACCCTTTCACTCTGTCCGCACCTGCCCAACCAGATGTTCTGCCATCAGCGGGGGCCACCGCTACCCCTGGTTTCCTCCGACGTTGTTACCGTGCCCTTGCAACTACGAGCTGTTGGTGGTGGTGTCGCCGATCGAGTTGTGGCCTCCGAAAAAGTACTTGGAGATGACGATGCCGCCGTTGCGGTTGTTACCATGGTCCCCTCCTTCACCCCTCGGGCTGGCCTCTCCCCGTCCCTCCCTGCCGTCATGGGAACCACGTAACCGCTTGAACGCAAAAGCGAGAAAAGCCAAAGCGACCGCCGATGCTACGCTGCTCACAACGGTTGTCACCGTCTCGGTCCAGATACTGTCGTCGTTGCTCCCATCATCGTTGTCGTCGTCTGCGTCCTGCAGGACGCCGGGAGTCGGTGTCAAAGTCGGACCCACGGGGTTCTGGGTGGTGGCCGATGCGTCGTCTTCCGTTTCTGTGGCGGAGGTCGCGATGGGCGAAGGTGAAGACGTAGGTGTCATCGTGGAACCCACAGGGGTCGGGGTGGTGGCCAATGCTTCGTCACCCGTGTAAGTGGCGGGGGCTGCAATGCGCAAGGGAGAAGAAGTAAGTGAATGAGGTTGACCGACGGGGTTGATGTCAGTGGGTTCAGGTGTTGGAATCGATGCGGGTGTGGGCATCGACTCAGGCGAAGGTTCGGCCGTCGGTTCCAAAGTGGGCTTGGATGTCTGGACTAACACGGGTGCAGGCGTTGGCTCAGGGATAGGGTCGGCCGTCGGTTCTGACGTGGGTTCGGGTGTTGTAATTGATACCGGTGTGGGTGTGGGCTGTGGGGCAGGCTCGGTGGTAGGCTCGGTGGTCGGTTCCGACGTGGGCTCGGATGTTGGAATTGATACGGGTGAGGGCGTGGGCTCAGGGGTAGGCTTGGTCGTCGGTTCCGACGTGGGTTCGGGTGTTGGGATTGATACCGGGGCGGGCGTGGGCTCAGGGGTAGGCTCCGTAGGCGATTCCGACATGGGTCCGGGTGTCGGGCTGGAATTGACAAGGTCATCGGTGACATCATCCGTGGTTCCGGTGGTGCCCGGCACGAGCAGACCGTCGGGAGCAGGGCACGAAGCCTCGTCGATTGCCCTACAATGGAGTGCCACACCATAAAGGGAAGCGAGAAACTCGAACACCGTCACCCCTACGGCATAGCTGCCGTCGTCGCATGAGGATGCCGTGATTTCGGCGGAAGTGTCGGGATTTCCTCCCTCGGACCTTCAACATGCGGCAAACGGGATGATGTGGCTTGAGCAAAAGATGATGCTGTGGAGTCCATGATACGGTCGGGTTCGACCGAACAGTTACGAGACATCGGCGTGGCCAAACACCGTCCATGAACAACTCTTGATACACAAACAGAAGTCTGGCAGAATCTGTGCCAGCCTCTTCTGATCCCGATAGTACAACTGACCACATGCACACGATATTCTGAATTTCACTCACGGATAGGGCCCAAGGGTAGCACCCGATGGACCGCCGTCATTGAAGCAGAAAAAGCTCGCGTTCGCTGGAGAATCTGTGTCGAGACTGGGAGTTGTAGACAGCTGCGTCCAACCACCGGTGCAATACACTTTTACGAACAAGGTGTCTCGGTAGAAGCAATAGCCGAAAATTTCGCTGACTTCTCCATCAGAGCACGTCAGAATGAACCCAGTGAAGCCGTTGGTTTCGCTGGATAGGGTCACCTCGCTGACGTACGCGCCTTCTACGCACTCAAACGTGTACTCATTTCCAAACTCGGTGCCCGTCAAAGACACGACATCCGTCTGGCAGTACTGGCTCGAAACGCACTGTACGGTCAACACTAGTAGCCATAGGAAGCCCTTGAAGGGCACGCCAAATTCTCGTGACAGCACGAAGGAACATCTGGCGGCGCCGGGGGAAACGAAGAACATTGTGTCGAGCTCATTTTCATATCAGCGTCGATAATGGTCGTCCTGTAGACTATAAAGGCAGGCACGGAACGCAATTTGGAGAAGAAGGTCTCTTGGAGTAGCTATGAATCTTCAATCAGGCAGACGGTCTCCGTGGAACAGGTGGTATTGCTGAGGAAGGATGACAAGGAAATACGGGAGTTGTCCCTTGCCTGAGAGAAATTCTTGGAAATTCAAGCGACGCCCCCGGGGGAGAGCTTCTGGAATAGCGTGAATGCAGCAACTTCCCAACAGAGTGGTATGGGATGAAAGCAGGTATCCTAGAATGCGCCAGTCAGTGCTCGTTCAGGGATTGTAACTTTTGGCCGAGTGTCATGGTCTTTGGGCCTTCGGCTAAGAAACCATCTGGACGGGTGTGTCTTGTAGAAATACACCGATTTCTGTTCCTAGGTTAAACGATTAGCGGTACAATATTTGAAAGCAGCAACAGGTTTATGTGTTCCTTCTTCTTGCTCAGTGTTGCCTGGAGTGAGCGATAGGGAGCGACGGAGAAAGAAAGGAAGGGAAGGGAAGGAACCAGACTGAACGGAGCCGCTTCATACTGCACAACTTAATTACACGAGACAATGTTTACAATTGAACGCATCATCTCAAGAAGTGCCGCGCAATAAGGAGAGAATTTATGTGTGTTGTACTTTCGGCTGAACTATGCTGCAGATCCTTTCGGTGTATGCTTTAAGTATTACCCGAGGTCGCACAAAAGCGCTCTGCGAAAATCTCATTCTACCGACCCAATCATGTGCGTCGTCTCTCGGTGGGCATTTCCTCGTATCACCGAAGGTGATCATGGCGATAATCGAAAGGCCTCCCAGCCCTTTCCTTGGAACCCCCAAAGCAAGAGTGACTCTCTTGATCCACTTGCATGTCCCGATTTTCCCAATATTGTCAACAAAACTCCGGTCGCTACGCTTCTCACCTTCTGAGTATCATGCCGTCTTCTCTTCGAGTGAAACATGGCCTCTACTGGTACGTTCACCGAGGTAGAGAAACCAGCCTGCCGTCTCCCTGTGTTGCTAATTGCGACGCGACCATGGGAGAGATAGGATAACCGGTATTGACGAGAGTAATACGGATATGCATGCGGTCGTGCATTGCTTTGTTGGATTAGCATGGCAGGTGCACAGGATGTGTGTCGCACAGTGAAGACCTATGCAGAGTGCATGCAGTCTACATCAGCCGTATCAATTCACAACGCCTTGAGTTCTAGCCAACGGCCATCTTTGGAACTTATGCTTGGTCACATGAATATGCTGAGGCCAAAGCCTCCTGAAACTAATGGAATCCTAAAAGAATTATCCTGGAAGCTTCGAATGTTCAGCAAGAAAATGTTTTCAAGTGATCGCGAAACGAAACATTCACTCTGAACCACGGGTCGTTTTCTGTGCTTGAGATGCCCTACTCCAATGGTCGAACCAACAACCTCGCCCTCCATCCACGGCCTAATAGGATCCACGCAGCGTTAGGGCAAATATTAATAAAACGGAAGGTTGAATGTCACCCACCACGTCAAGCGTCGGCTGGGAAGGGTGAGGGCTACCGATAGTCCCACTGGATAGGGCGGCGCCTAGTGTGTCCTTGGACATTTCGTTCACTGTGATTCGAGCAACTGGTGGTGAGTGTTTCGTGGTCCACTGTGATTCAACCTGCCAGTACAACGGACACCGATTTCTACCCAAATATTGTAGCCTTCCCAGCCGTGCCGAAGCGTTTTCCTAAACCTCGCGGAGGTGATTACCCAGGGTCTGGTTGTCAATATGTATTCAGGGTTCGCTGAGCGCCCCACCCAGTGGTTTAGTCGGGAACCTGGCAACCTTCTGGCGTTGGGGTCATACATTCGAAATTCGTCGCAATCATACGAAGGAAATTTCTCGCGCAAGCGCTCAAACAGTACGAGTTACGAACACAGTGGGACACATGGTTGATGAATTCTCGTCGCCGTTGGAATGCTTGGACGAGAAAAAAAGCCCCTGTGTGACCTTCCTGCCGTGTGACCCCGGCAACACGCCAAGAAACAAAAGGAAAGGTGAAAAAGCCGACGTCAAGAGAGACTAGATGGGTGGAGAGTGTTAAGATACATAGTCCGATTTGCAGCGTATCCGTCGATTTACGTTTGCCAGAATCGGTATACACCTTCGCACATGGTGCCGTGTAGGACACGGGTTCAAATCTCCTTGTGTGCACATTTTCTCCTGACTTGGACATTTTTCCCATGGAGCACCTCTCGGAGTCGATCCTGAAAAGAATACGTGACACCTCCATCGGATTACCTGTCCTGGCCACAAGAGGTTCCCAGTTGAGGGTAAATTCTGTGGGTTGTTGCTGTTGTCTTCACATTAAAAGACCGTTCCGGTCTCCGCTCAGTACCTTATAATGTCCGTACTGGTCTACTAACGCGGACGCCTTCCGTGGTCACAACCCAACCTCCCCAAAGGGGGGTACACCTTTCTCAAAATATGGTGTTCGGGAGGATCCGATTCGCAGGTTATCCGTCGATTGAGTTTTACCAGAGAATCGGCGTACACCTTCGCAACAGTCTCTTTCATGGGTCAGCCAGTTTGCGCGGCCGATGCATTTAAAACAACAAACTATTATGTCACACCCCGACGGTGCTGATGTGCAATGGGAAACAGGAGGAAGACGAATTTCGTGGGGGCGGTCAGCGGAGTTTCATCCATGCGGTGGATCAATAAGATGGGTCTTCGGAGAAATATTATATCGGGTCATCCTGTCCTGCAGATCCTGCAGTTCCACATGTTGTTGTTACGTGCCTGCTGCTTGTATGCATTCCTCTTCCAAAATATCGCCATCCTACAACTGTATCCTATTTTCTGGTCGTTTTTCTCCCCGCAATACACTTGATGTGGATAGACATATATATGAAAATGAACAAAGAAAATGATAACCGACGCATATCTTGCTGTATTTCCAGGCTGCGAACATTGTTCCCCACACATGGAACTGGCAAACAAGGCGAGGGATGGCATAGATTGCGGGGTCGCAAGGGGTCGAGGGGGGGCACGCAGAAGGGTTGAAGTTTCTTGTGCATGTTGCCCCGCAATCTGCGACTGACAGAACTTTCGTCTGTGCAGCTGATGTGCCATTCTCGCAATCTTGTCGCCGTCATGGCATGTGTTCACAACCCGAACATTCCTACCCAAATGTATAGGCGGTGGTCTACTGTACCTTTTCTTCGTCCAATCCGACAGTTGTTTTTTGTCTTTTGAGAACAGAAGTATTCTTTCTTGCTTGAATGCGGGCCATTGCTTGCCGGACTATGAAGTAAAGTATGTACAAGTATGGGCCGCCGCCGTCGTCGCGTACGCGACAAATCAAGCAAGACAAGCGGAAGGCCCACCTATTCTCACGACTTGGCAAACCCTCGGCGATGGCGTGACCCCTGGAAGGGAGAGGAAACCATTAGACTGTGTCCTACAGACTCACTGGTGCTGGCGTCGTCGGGCAACTTGTTCTCGATGAAGAACCAAAGACCCTTCCGGCACGTCAAGCTGCATCATCAGTGCGTTCCTCTTGGTGACCTCGTCCTTGCTTTGCACCAACAAACCGTGCGTGTTCGCAATGGTCTCGAATCAAGCGTTCGCTGACAAAGGGCGCGAGGGTCAGATGGTATGCAGACAAGAAGGTTGACAACCCCCGTTGAGCCCGAGCACGACACATGTTGCTCTTCCCTCCAACATGACATGACATGAGTAGTTGATGAGGCATCATCATCGCGAGTGAGGGTGTACGAGGTGCACGGCACATTGTTTATTGTGCACCAATACCACGACAAGAGTGCGAGCAGACTTCCTATACTCCCCGGTATATCAGGCATTGTAGTGACGGAGTCATTCTCGCGACTCGCTCTTACCTCCCCGGGGCCTCTACTGCTTGTAGATCTGTTCCTCTCGTCGCTCCGTTGTATATGGTGCCCAGCAAGGACTCCTTGCTCGGTGAATGCTCGCACCAGGGTTTATCTGTATGGCCCCGCAGGCACCATTCACAGCGCGGGTGGGTGAGAGGCAGCGCACGTCTGGTACGAGAGATCAAGCGTCGTGACAGAGCAAGAAATGGCGTGCAAGGTACGAACAACAACACACACTCTTTTCGCGCGGGGTGAAAGCAATTGTTTCCCCCGGCTTGTCGTTCATCCGTTCGTACCGATCAGTGGTCTCCATCCAAGGTAAATATTTTTCGACCAGGGAACTTCTTGCGGCTTCTAGCGCGTTGCGGCATTGCACCGTGGAGAAGCGCAGCTTGCTGCCATCATGCGTACTCATCGATATTATTGCTACATACCACCGCGCTTTTCACGCCTGATCAACTACATGTAGTCTAGGCACCAACAAACCACGCGGGTATGCGTCTGCGTCTTTGTCTACTGTACGACCAATCAACAAAGCCACGAGTGACAACAAACCAACAAACCAAAAAACAAACGTTCTGTTTTTCCCGACACAGGCCCTGATGGCCCGTTTGTTTTTGTATTTTCTGTTTTGCATCTTGTTGCCAGCGGCGTCGATGAATTTTGTCGAGGTGTCTGAGTTGACTGTTGTGTACACGCGTTGCATATATGGTTCTGCAACACATGCTCGTCGAACAGCCCCGACGATGGCTGAGGAAGGTAATACTGTAGAAGCGGAACGTTTTTGCGGCGGCAAGTAGATAGACGAGATGAGAGTGAGCGAAGTTCCCGCGGGCACCACGCGTAGGAACATCACTTATTCTCATCCCTGGTGATGTGGGTCTTAAAGAAAACGAAACTGAAACAAGAATTTGATGACGGGTGTAAACGAAGCAACAACAAAAGCCGGTTGTGGGACGGCGGTTGCCCCGTCAACAATAGCAACACCTCGCTGACCTATCCCGCTGCTGGGAACAAACACACGTACCTCGCTTCTTATCCTCCAACTCCGCCACGCGAGCCCTCGCCTGTTCCTTCTGCTCATCTCGCGAGGGCGACTATCGAAATGATGACGCGACCGATGAGCAGAAGGAGCAGGCGAGCGCTCGCGTGGGGAGGTTGGAGGAGAAGAAAGCTACGATATTTCTTTCCTGCTTGTCCCCGTTGATGAGCATGCATACGACGGAGGGCACACACACCGGAAGTCCCAGGTATGGGCGCGGAGGTTGTTGGAGATCGAGGCAAACCGGTCAGCCTGGCAACTGCAAGGCACACAGCAGCAACAACCACAACTACGGAGACACCACCATTATCAACACCAAGCGGGAAGCGCCGTGAGACGGCGAGTCGCATGGAGGGTGCGCTGCATCCTGCTAAGGGTGTTCGGCATCTTGTGCCTACTTCCTTGCATGCGGGTGACAGCTGCGAATGACTTAAATATATTTATTATGCTTTCACTTCCAGAGATAGTTGCACAGTGCCTCGAGGGTGCTTGACCAATTTACCACAACGTGGTGCGATCGTCCCCTTTGCGCGGAGCGAGGGTTCTCGACCCCGCACAACATAATCTACTCGACCGCCACTATGTTCATCACCGCAAACACAAATCAAAGCCAACGCCAAAGCGGTAACCTGGTTGTCGAGCTTTGATTGGAGTGGGGGCGCCTCTATCGAACCCAGGTGACCCTGAAGAAAATGACATAACCCACCTCCTCTACTCGTCAAGGCATGCATTCATTCCCTGCAACCCTCGTATTGCGCTTCAAGAAACATCCAGTAGCGGCAATCTGTGGGTGGTATAGACGAATGATAACCACAGCCATCGCAAGGGCCTACAATGTTCAGAGGCAAAGATAAACTGGATTGGTACAAATCTCCACCCGCGGCGCAACTCTGAGCTTTGTGAGCTGTTGGCCTACGCCGGCTGCGCAACCGCAACGGCCAACACAGTCCGCGCACCAAACCACATAACCCACATTAACCACGGCAGCACTTTTGTTGTACGGTGTACTCGCTCTGACATACCTCTAGGACAAATGTCCAGGCTCAATGGAGCATTCTGATGCAGCAGTGGAAACATGCCGCCATGTGCAGGTCTCAGCCTACAGCATTATCATAGTATTTCAATACCGAAGCTATCGTGGGTGCCACGACCATTACACACCAAAGCCAACGAGACATGAAGAAACAAGAGACGAACTCACGATGGCCAGGCGAAGAACAAAATCCAGGCGACTCCTACCTCGTACTCAACTTCAGGTGATATACGACCCTCTGCGACACATAGTCCAGGAGAGCAGCGAGTCCGCTTTGTCCAAAACCTACGCCTTCTTCTGCAACTCCTCAACGGCAGCTCGGAGCTTCTTCTTCTTGTAGCCCATCACAGGCTCCACGACCTCTTCCCCTTTCCTGTAGAACCGGAAAGCCGGCAGGGCTTCCACCCCCAGGTCCGTGGAGAGCTCTGATATCGCCTCCTCTGATGACCAGGCAGGTCATACAACAGCCACAGGAGGAGAAGGACGACGAAAGATCAGAAGCCGAGTAAACAAGAAGCCCCCGTTCTGCGGTGCGTAGCTCAACCAACAAACCATCAACACAACAACACTAACAACTGCAGCACCCACAGTAGCATCAACACCAACACCAACCCCCCACAAAACACGAAACAGCAACGCCGCGGCCGCCGCCGACGACGACGACAACGACGATAATACCAACTCAACGATGACCCATCTCACCGGTGGTGTCGAACTTGGCGAACGTGACTTCTGGGAACTCCTCGCTGAGCTCCTTGACGAACGGCATCATCTGACGGCACTTGCCACAGTGCGGTGCCACGACTAATGGATGAGTCAACATTCCGCGGAAATAGCGAACATGGAAAGTAAGGGGAAGCATGTCAGTTACCGCAGCCACACGTGCAACTGGACCCCGTGCGCAGAATCGCGCTCACGTGCACTCGAGTCAACAGGGCAACACGAACGACAAAACACAGCAACGGATGACAAAGCATATCATGGACATGAGTGGGCATCTCAGATCCTTGCTGTATTCGGGGGGGGGGTCCAACTCCAACGAGGTGCGCAGAACCACCGGTGGCATCAGCATTGCCCGAACAATGGATGGTTGTGGCAATGGTTTAGCAGGATCATCAATTCGCACCACAGTCGACAACGAGGAATCCCCCTCGGGGAGTTGGCGTGTACGTCCTTCCGGGTATTCTCTTTAAGGGTTTAGTGCGGCAGTAGGACACCGTGTCGCGTACAATGGATAATGACGAATTCTGTGACCGCCGCGTGTTTCCATCTTCCTTCGCCACAGTGTATCAATAGAAAGCGATTTATCGTGAATACGCATCACTTGCTTCACACGTGCGCACTGACCGAAGAATGCCAGCACGTGAGAATACAAAACCTGACTCCATCGTGGCGCCATGTCGGAAGTGGTTGCTGTTCAAACAACACGATTCGATTATTGCCGAGGGAACCAGTGAATCTCATAGTGCCGATGTTCACAGCAACAGCGCAGAGTGAAACTTCCCATCTCCTAGCGTTCATACTCAAAACAGCAGAGAGTGAACGTTCTGCGAAACCATGGAGCGGTAGCTCCTCAGAAGAACGCCAAAGGTAATGCGGTAAGACACAACGAGCGGCGGAGGAATCAGGGAAATTGTGGCACGCGCGCCCCAGCAGCTGCAAACTGATGCACGGCCCCACCGACTGGTCGTGGCAGGTCTCCGTCTTAAACTCGCAGTCCACAACGGTCAACGTCTTCCACGATTGAAACCGTTGCAGGGGGTGGTATAACTCATGATCTCGAGCATTGCGGGGAAAACGCCACCGTTCCAACACCCGCTTCGACCGCTACCCGTCGGCAATGAACAGCCGCCCGCCCGCCATACTCACAGTCGACAACGGCAAGAGCCTCGGAGGTGACGTCCTTGAAGTCGTTCGGGGAGTTGATCACCACCATCTTGTCACCAGCCTAGAGCACCGGGGTCCACAGCGGCGCGTGCAAGGCGAAAGCCGTGTTCGTAAGAGAGCGTGCCGTGAGACGGAGGGTTGGGAGATACACAAGAGCCTAGAGTTGGGCGTAACCGACAAGCCATTTTATTGCGGTTTCGGTGAAAAGAGGGCGTCTTTTGAGTGCAAAATAACGGCAAGAGTGAAACAGCAGCGCGAATCAACGAGGTGGATGGTACCAGACGGGAGAAATAATACGTCCGATTGCCCGGGATTTCTCGCTCGCCATTGTCACACCAACCCCACGACCCGCACAGAGGTTGCAGAGTATTGCACCTACTCCAGCAGAACAGGACAAGAAAAAGCGGGAACGACAAAAACGCTGCAAAAAGACCACCCGCAGCGAGAACAACGCCGGCACGAAACACCGCAAACCCAGCGGCGGATGCAGCATGGACACAAAAACATAAAAAAAAAAAACGCAGGCCGTCCAATACCTCAAGCGGGTCTTCCTCGCTCTCCGTCGCGCCGGAGGAGAAGTACTCCATGGACGCGTCCAAGCCGGGCTTCATCGTCTTGTCTCCCGGCTTCCACCCGGCCGGGCACACCTGAACGCGGCCGTAATGGTCGTTTCGTTCGAATCGTTGCAGGAGGAGCGTCAGAGGAGGGACGTCCGAGGCGAGGAAGGGTCAGTCTATCGCGACGCTGGTGACGGTCGTTGCGGCCACACAATCTTGCAAAGATGATTCCAGTACATCACTGTTGGGTTTCGGATATCCATATTGACAACCGTAACATTGATAGCCCTGGGCTCGCCTGAAGCCCATCACTCGCTGCGAGAGAGAATGGGAGGGAAAAAGGGCGACAGAAGAAGTATTTAGTGTACTTGGAACACAAAGTTGCTGCGCTGGAAGCAGCAGATCCGATCATTCATAGCCACAACGGTTGTTGAAAAAAACACCAACGATTTGCTTCGAGACTCTCCAGATAGGCGCATGCATCATTGTATCAACATGACTCCATTGGCAAAGGGCGACAACAACACGAGTTAAGATGCCCTCATGTCGCACAAATTGTAGCTCAAGTTACCTCGCTATCCATCTGCCCACCCACACCCCTACCTCGCCGTGCTTTGCCAGGAACTGGTGTGCCTGGATTAGTCGAAGAGTCTCATCCACATCCCTGCCGATGCCCAGGTTGTTAATCGTCACCTAAAGCGTTCGGACCAACGTTTGTGGTGCAGTGATAGGAGCCAAGATCGCGTTAGGGTGCGGAAGAGAGGGATATTGGTAGCCCAGCATGAGAGTGATTTATGTCAAGGTTGCGGCGGGGTTGCGGGAAAAAAATGTTTGGCGATGGTGGGCCGGAGCCTCCGAAGAGCCATCCACAGAGCACACGCCATCTCAGGAAAGCGAAAGCCGCGTCCAAGCAGTACGTGCGAGAAACAGGATCCGGAAAAGGTGAACACTTGGTATCAGGCCGGCGGAAACCTAGGCACCGTCGATAGAGTACCAATGCAATTGCGGTGTTCGAGCCGGGTCTAAAATAGGACGAATAGTGGCGATGGGTTAATTCTTTGTTCAGTATGAGAACACAAGGTTGTTTTATTCCGATTCCGAACGATTTTCCGCTAGGAGTTCAACGGATTCCGAATTCAGTACGCCTGCAGACCACGAGCCCCTGTCGAATCACCAAAGTTCACTTCGCTCCTACAGGCACAATAAAGGCACGGGTTGCTGCACGTGCACAAACTTGGTCATCACATTTTGACAAACAAGGAATGACCACATCCACAGTTCCGCGAGTTGGTAAGGGTCATGTTCCTTCGACAACACCTGCTACACACCACACGCGGCGACAGAAATTCCGGCGACACCGACGAGCTCGCCTGTTCGAGAATGCCCTCGGGGTTGATAATGAAGAGCCCCCTGAGAGCGATCCCGAGAGACGGGATCAGCACCCCGTAGTCCGCCGAAATCTCCTTCGTGGGGTCGGCGACAAGGGGGATCCTGCAAGGCACAAGATCGGATGCCGCGGGGGGGGGGCAGACCCACGAGCAAAGTCGGGTCCACACAAACGAAATAAACAATTTAGGCACGAAATTGGATGCAGGCGGCAGCCCCGATAGCATTTTGATATATCACATACAGCTGGTCAATGTCTTTCTCCCCACCGTGAACACGCGAGAACATTGGAGAAAACAAAAAACAGAGAGGTTTCAGGAACTCGGGCCAATCCGACGCCGACCGCGCCACCAGCGTCAGCCGCAGCACCAGCGCCCGTCGAAATCTACCGCCTGCGGACCGGCTGCAGGCTGCGGGTCTCGGGCAACTGGTCTCCTTCGACCGCGGGCGGCGGGCGAAGAACCGTACCATATGCACGACATGAATATCCGCTTGTTTGACCTCCAGGTAGAGAATGCCTTCCTCTTCCTCCCTGACTACTGTACGTGGGCTCCTCCAAACGGCGGCGAACAGCGTGGCCGATGCCATCCCACGGCCCTACTAGCGGAAGATCATCATCCGGTTGGCGCCTACCGCGTTCTGGAGGTCGTCATCGGGAGTATGCTGACCCGCTCGACATCGACATAACTGCGTGCAGGTCGTCCGCACAGCGATCGCCACCCTCCTGGGTGGGACTCCGATCATCTTCTTCGCGGCGGTGCCATTGTGCTGGGTCCGCCGGTGGAGACGTCTCTGCGCCAAACGTGGTAGCACTTTTACCGTACCAGCGCTTGGCCTCTGTTTACCCCTCTCCCGCCATGGCGGGGCACCTAGTCCAGCACCGTGCTCAATGTAGAGCGCCCGTGGTTGTTCCACTTGCGGGCGTGAAGGTCTGGGTTGGACCTCCGGCCTCCAAGCTGGAGGCCTCATCCAAAATCCGATACTTTCATTAACTGTTCTTAGGTCAAGAGCAATAATAGTAACAGGAATGGCTAAGTGAAGACGCCGGCACAATATGTTTGATATGTTCACCTTGGTAGGCTAAATTTACCTGTGGCCGCCGATGCTCGAACTTTTCTTTGTGAGACCGAGGGAAGAGGGGGGTGCTGGACAGAGGGTTAGGGTCAGTCTCTCAACATGCAGACAACCAGCCATTGAGTGAATACTGGAGGATGAGTGGCACGTGGTACAAATTACGCGCACCTCATGTGCCCCAGCCCTCCCCTCTTTCGGGGGTGACGCGTCCACGCGAGGTGGCTGTCCTCGGTGTCCGTCGAGATCCCCAGGACCTTCATGCAACACGCACAGCGCGTCCGGTTCCAAAAAGGGCACAATAAAGCAGTCAGGACCTCCAGCAACCGACCACGGAACAAATTCGTTACGCCTTGCGGATGCACGGCGCGCCGTCGTATTGGGGGAGTGAGAAGTAGAAACTATGATATGATGCCCCCAATAGCTGCACTATTCGCTCCCATCCATGTAAACGAAGTCGTAGTCCGCAGACCATTGACCTCGTATCCTTACAACGCCGGGACGGAGTGATATGCCGAGTTTTCGCCGGCCCCGGATACGTTTTACAAGCATGAACCAGAAGCTTGTCATCATCCTTTCGTTTTGCGTGCCGGGCAAAGGGTATCGTCTGTTGACCGTCGCTCACGACCCTTCGGTGACGCCAAGCGGGGTTACCACGGAAAGACAGGAACACGTTCAGTTCCTTGCTGGCCTTGGCCCAAAGAAGGCCACAGGACACACAGAGACGCAACTGCAAGCCAAGCGGGTCTAGGAGGCGTCTGTCTACAATAACCTCGGGTTTGTGTTTGCATTTTTACCTGTGCACCCAGGGCCTCGAATTCCGAGTGTCTGTCAGAAAAGGCGATGATCTCCGTCGGGCACACGAACGTCCAGTCCTGCAGAAGAACAACAAAATTTGAACATGAATCGAAGACAACGAAAGCAAAGTTGAATTACAGCAGCGGCCTGTGGCTTGTCGTTTGTACACGCTGCTAGTTTCCCTTCACATAACTGTTCCCTTCACACAAGAACCGATCTATTCGGACAGATAAACCTTACGTTTCAAGGAAAGGCTTATCCAGCGCCGACCGACCGACCGACCGACTACGCAGCATCAGTCGAACCACAGCAACCGAGGACAGCACGATGAGGCTAGCACCGGCCGCGGTTTGACTACAGCAGGGCGTCTTACTTCAAAGCAACAGTGCACCACACAAGGTTCTGACTCCGTCTGCGAAATCTCACCACGACCTGAATCTTAACGGGAATATTTAAATTTCTCCAACATCGTCGCAAACCCTATGCTTGAAAGCGTCGAGAGCGTAGCCAAACGTTGGCTCCAATCACACAGCACCAAGCCACACGCCCTGTTCAAGAGAATGCCAGTATCGGCACATAGTAGGGTCGCCTTGGAGAGCGACACGAGGAGCATACGACCGGCACACCTGTTCATGGTATAATACCATCCATGTTCACCCCCCTGCTCTCGACTACCGCTTCGAGAAAATGGCCTGAGCTGATTCCTTGCCCGCAAGTCGCCTAACCCCGGCCTCATTTCAATGACGAAAGAACTGCACGTTCAGTTCAGGATCTAGCAAGAAGGCGAGACGGAGCCCCCCTCCCCGTATGCAAAATGTACCATCGCCTGTGCCCCCAACTTCAGATCGCCACCGAGCCGGTGATCGAACAACCAAACGCTCGAGCCCTTAACCAAAAATCTACCTACCCCGACAACCGAACGGGTGTCTGTGTCCGTCCGTTGATATATATATTACCTTCGGGTAGAAGAGGAGAACGACCCACTTTCCCTTGTAGTCGTCCGTGCTGACGTCGACGATGTCGCCGTCGACCACCGCCTTGGCCTTGAACCCAGGTGCCGGCTCCATGATGTTGGCGGAGGGGGCGGGGTAGCTGCGCGTGAGCACAGGGCCGAGGGGCGGGACGGGGAGCGGAAAGTGGCCGGTATCCATTGCAGATGAGCGTAGCGCTGGAGAAATCGGGTTGTGACGTGCTAAACGCCGAAAAGAACAATGTTTCAGAGGTGGCTTGTTGGGTGCTGAACCAAGAAACTCGGGAGGGGGCGCTGCGTCAAGGTTCTGCGAGTACCGAAGCCATGAGTCGGGGGCAACCGGGAACCCTAACGCATTTACAGCGGTGCGGCTTGCGAAAATAACGAGAACGGGGATCAAGCATCCCGACTACGATGTGGAGCAAGGGGGCGAGACGCCTGTAAACACGCAAACCGATGGATGCAGCATGAACGGGAAAGTTTTGATGAGGGGAGGACTATCAATGCGCAGTCTGTCGGATGACAAGAGTGAGAGAGAGCAGCGCGGAAGGAGATGGCCACATATTGTACCATGAGGTGCAAAAGCTTGTATCAGGCAATGCTTGGCAGACGACCGACCCAACAACAGCTACAGTAGCAGCACACGGCCGCGAGATGCATTCTCGAGCTGTCGACACGATAGAATCATCGAAACATCTGTGTTCATCAAAAGGACGGTGTATACGGGTTGTAAAATCTCGGCCACGGTAGGGGGAGCTTGTCGTTAACAAATTCCGGGGCCGTCGAGATAAGCGGATGAGACCGAAACGGCCGTGAAGAAGAAAAGAGGAGCGCTGACCGCACGACAATGTTCGCGTCTTCAAGTGTGTGTGCGTTCAGCTCAATCTCCACTCACAAGATGGAGGCTTCCTGCTCCGTGTGCATCGCCCTAGCGGGAGCTATGGGACCCCCGATCACCGGAGAGGCAGTTGACCTGGGTGAGGCATCCCGCCAAGTTGCTGTGACGGAGGGAGCGGCGGCAGCGGCCGGGCGCCCCGCAAGGCTATGTAATCGGACCGGGAAATAGAGAGAAATGGAAATGGACGGGGGAGGGGGCGGATCCGAAAGATAACGTGAAAAAAAGATGAGTTCGTATACAGGAGGTGAATTCGATGCTACCCTTTTCGAAACAATGATGCATTGTTAGGACCCTCTGGTACAACAGGTACTACGCTGCAGCCATCGCGTTGCTACCCCGCACCCGCACACGGGTAAAAAAAAAAACAAGCTCCCGGCAAGCAGGAATACGCACCATATCAAGAAAACCCCTCCACACATGAGCGCGTGCAAGTTTTTGCGTGTGATACTTCGCCTACTTGCAGTATTATGCATACACGCGTGGCTTGGGTGGCCTATGGGGCTGAACTGGTCAAGTATCCTTCAGTACAATATTGAATATTGTCAGAGAGAAGATACCGCACATTGGTATACCACGACACGTGCATCTTGCGTTCAAGATTCGAGCTCGTGCGACAAGCTACGATCTCGTGCGGTGGACGCTCGCTGATCCACCCCATCTTCTCTGCTTGAATTCGTCAGCTGTGGTGCACAGGGCGGTTGTGACATGTTTTCGAGAGTGCCAGGCATCCGTTGTTGCGGTGGAACGTGGAACGTATCAGCCAGCAGACGAGGGAAATACCCCGCCCCCATAATAACACTTCAATCAACACTATTTCTTCACCTGGCCCCCACTGCACGCCCGGCCCTGGTTCCAGCCCGACGAAGTGTACTAATCATTCTTATGCGATGTTCGCTGCCCTTGTTGCTGCTGTCGTTGGTTTGGTTGTGTTCAACAACAAACAATAACACATGGGGGGCACACGCAAGAAAACCCCAAAAGACCGCCGTATATGTGCCACCAATTGAGTAGCATTCGTTGGACCCCCTCCTGTCGGAACAACGGAACAACGCACGGCACCACACACGAGTCCCACTACTGGCGCTGCGAGAGAGGGGGGGTGGAGTCCATAAGGAAGGGAAAGGGGCGTTGAAAATGTGAGTCGTTGTGTGTGTGCTTGTGTTGCAATATATTATGTGCAGTGCTAAACGAAGTGGGGAATCGGGGAGTTTCGGGATTATCAGCTTTTTGGCGCTGTTTGAAATGCATTGGCACTGCAACACGTGAACAGGCAGAGAACCGTTTCTCTACAGGATGACAGGATCGACTGCTACTGCTGTACTGCTGTAGAATCTTGGAAGGTGGACCACTGGCTTGAGGGTTAACAACTGCTATGTGGGCTGAAAAATATCACGAGGAAGAGTATCCCCTTGTTGCACAAGAGTGTGTCGTCCACTACGTGCATGGGTGTGCAAGACAGGTGATGGGAGTCAGCAGCTCGTGAGATTGTTCCGCGTCTACTGCTGTATGCCAGCTACACTGCTGCTGCAGTCTACCTGCAGTCTACCTGTCTACAGCCGTACATGTGCATTGACGGTTGTAAATGTGGCAGTTGTTGGAACGCACTCTGCCTTGTGCGTCTATGTTTTATTTCGGGTGTTATGTCTGGCGTTATTTTTGGACTACAAGCATATTAGCAGTCGACTGCTGCACTGGGTTCCTCCCTTCAACACCGTAGAAGCAGTTGCAGTTCGCCGAATAGCAACGGCAATCACCTTTTTCACCCATTTCGTCCTTTGCCATGTGCCATCGGAAATACACAACGACCAGCCGATCGGCAGCAGCGTCCGCAACAGGACGCACCATGGCTTCCGCTGGTACAGGAGCAGAGGAAGGGACATTGCCGGGTATGACGCTGCCGGAGGCCCTGGAGAAGTGGGTGGAAAGGCATCCAGACAAGGTACTTCATTTTAAGGAGGAGTAGGGACGGAGGGACGGAGGGACGGAGGGACCCACTTGGGACGCGTAGATATGTAGATGCGACTCTCTTGCCCAGATTTGAAGTACAGCAGGGCAGCAGAGGTATGTATCGGGTTTGTGCCTTTGCGTTGGCCGCTAAGTAAACTGTGATGAGGATGGTAAGAGAGGCGCCAAGGTGACTCGCAAGCAACAAACTGCTTGAGCACTATGCCCCACGCAACAGCAGCAATTCTGAGCACTGACCATGTCAAGTCATTGTCGACCCCATGATCAGCACGAAAAGTCTGAACGAAAACCTGTCCAAACGACGATCGTGGGATCTTGTTCGCCGCAAAGTTTCCTGTGCACGAATGATGTTTTTGACGGCCCAATTGCTCACCAAACTACGTAACCACGGGGTGGGGCTGCCATGCAAGGCTTGTGCCTGTCCCTAAAATCAGTGCTCTAAATTTTTACAAATAGCTTTCGAAAACACGAAACTATCACTCCAACCCTCGAGAAAAGTATATGTGTCTTGCCTACTAAGTAGTTGAATATGAATAGCTGTTGGACCGGGAGGGACGTTAGTACTCTTGAGTTATCTAGCTTGTCCGTCCCAGACGGGGCGGCTGGTACTTATTTGAAAACGGGTTTGTATAACCTCCAGCATGTGCGAGGTGGCCGCTGCGGACCAGCTTGCAAACGACCGACACACAAGGGTGTGAGAACCTATGTTCCTTCGGTAACACGGACGGCACTCACGCACACACGAATGCCACCCCTTGGCGTCTTTTTAACTCTGGGATTGTCCGCACTCTTGCCTCCCCTCGTGGCGCCCTTCCCGATCTGACGGTGCCCTGGCCCACCCTCCCGAGTACAGCAAGTATGGAGTTATCTCGACGATCGGGGCAGAGAGACCTCCGACAGAGTCACGTATCGGGAGCTGGACGACCGGACGAAAGCGCTCAGCCTCAACCTGCTGCGAGGAGCCAAGGGCAGGGGCGCGCTGTCGCCGGGGGACCGCGTGCTGCTGGTGTACCCGCCGTCCCTACACTTCGCGGTGGCGTTCGTGGCGTGTCTGAGGGCGGGGTTGGTGGCGGTGCCCGTCTACCCGCCGGACCCCCGCAAGCTCAAGAAAGACGTCCAGGTAAAGATGAGAGGATTTATTTATTTACTTATTTATTTCCTTCGTTCCTTCCTTCCTTCTTTCCTTCGTTCTTGCTTAGTAGCTTCTTTTTCTCACCATTTGCCTGTCCTCTCGGTGGTTGACTGGAGAAAACCATCGATGTGAATTTCAAGTGATGTGTCGACCTCGATACTGCGCTGCGCTGTGCTGCAGGGCTCCAGCTCGGGTGGTGTCTTGTTTCGGCTTCTTCCCTGGCCTCAATGGCCATCACGCCTCCAACTATGCCTACAGCAGTACCGACAGAGAACCCCCAATGTCTTCTAATCCCGTGCCTTGGTGGGGCTTGTTTGGTCCCTTCCCATTTAATGAACAACAGTACCACGTCCACCATGACCTAACAGGCTTTTTCCAGGACAACGGCCAGCTGCGGTGCTAGAGTGGCTCTCACCTCTTCTGTGTACGACCACGCCAAGAAGGTACGGAAGTTGTTTTACTTTCTGTCCACGGCCAGCACATGTACCTCTGTGGTTTTTGCGCTTCCCAGCTTTTGGGCGACCTTAAACACAGTCAAGCGTTGACTTTGAGACGGGGTTTGCGCGGATTGATGTCCTTCTGCAAGCACCCAACGCGCGTACAGTCTATCTGCCATCCAGGACTGTGCCGGTGCTGGCTGCCTCGAGAGACGCAGAAGCAACTCTCAGAAGTGGTGATGGTGACACGTGTTGTCCTTTTTTGGTGTAGTAGTATTTATATGGAGACTGGATGTTATCGTGTTATCGTCCAATGTCCCCCCACGGAGGAAGCTCGTTCGTGTCTTGTTGTTCCGCCTGCAATGACGTATTTTCATTGGTCAGCCGGTTTGCTCATCGCTGCAATTTTTTATGAGAGGTCAATGTTGAAACGACTACGGCATGCACGAGTATGAGTGTACCCCCCCCCCCGCCGCACAATAGCACACAGCGCCGACTTGTAGTTGCTGTTGGTCCCTCTGTCGTCAATCGATTAACCAACAGTGAACTGATGGTCGTTCCCATCAAGACCAGTAAGGGCCAGATTCACACAAACACACAAACAAGGGTTTGGTGGCCCCCCCCCCCCCCAAAAACAAATTTTCACACAAAACA